GTCCCTCATTTTTTGATTGCAGATGCTGAGCCAAGCATATTGGCAGATGTGCTCTCCCATCTTCCAAGAATGGAGACAGTATGCCTGGTATTCTGGCGGTTATGTGGACAGTTGCGCTCCGAAATGTGACAGACCAATTCAATATTGCTTCGACCGGAAAGTTTATGGAAAGTTCCAATTATCTGGGTGCAAAACATTGTCAATGGTCAAATGCGCGTATTGTGCCAAGAACATATGTTTCCAGCAGTTTGTCATCGAATGCCACCGATGTGTTTAGAATCCTCAACTGTTTTTTCAATTAAAAAAAAACAAAGAAAAATTGAAAAAAATTTTTGAAAAATCTTCGAGCTATTTGAGCATATTTGTGAATTTCTTCAAAAATTAAATGTCTGTTTTTATTCTGGAAAATGCCTATTCATAACGAGAAACTCCCCAAAAACATAATTAGATTGCGTAAATTTTATTCCAGAGCCAGTTATGGCAGCTTAAAATAAAACAAAAAAATTTTGCAAAATTTTTGGGATCGGGAGAATCGAACCTACAACCTTCCTCCTCTGAACTTGCCATTTTACCACTTTACCACACTGCTGATTGAAATCTATTGTTTTAAAAGAAATACACTATTCCATGAAAAAAATTTCACGAGAAATTAATCATAGGGAAACTTTTCTAGGTCATAACTTAGCTCACGTGAGCATTTTGCTGATTTTTTTAACAGATTTGGATTCCTCATAAGCTCTTCTATCTGCTCCCAAAATTTCAAAAAAAGTTAAACCTGCTCTTTCAAGTAACTGCCTTGTAAGAACTTCTTGAGAACTTTTTGGACTATTTATAACTTTTTTCATTTTTTCACCTCTTTCAAAATTTGAAAAATTTTTTTCAAATTTTTTGACTTTCCGATTTTTTCATTCCCTCAATAATTTCCTTTTAAATTTTCGACTGTTTTTATTCTGAATTTCTGAATTTCTCAATAACCAAATTCCTTTAAAATTTTAAACTTTATCTTCAAATTTTCAGATAATAATGCAAGTCTTAAAATATCGCTGGAACCGAATTTTTCTGACATTTTTCCTCTTCTTTTTGCTCATTTTTTCCTTCTCTTTTTTATCAAAAAAAACGAATAAAAAAGGACGAATTGTGAGAACTGGTCCATTGAGAATTCGAACGATTCATAGTGATCGAAATAGAGAGAATGCTGGGAATGGAGACGCAGAGAAAAATGGTATGAAGGATTTGTTGAATGGAGAGGTATGTATGTTTTTGGAGATAATATTTCAAAAAATAAAAAGAATGTTTCAAAAATTTGAGAAGTATTTGGAACTAAAAAAACTGATTGATTCGGTGATGATTTCTTAATTTCTGAATCAAAAAGTTTTTTGAAATCTGGAAAGGAAAAAAAAGTTTCAGTTTCAATATTTTGAGAAAAATTTCGAATCTGGCAAAAACCTAATCGAATTGACAAAGAATTTTCAGCCATGGGGGATTTTTTCAAATGACGACCTAAATATTTCGAAAACTAAACATTTTCCAGCTCGCATTTTGACACCATTGTGTTTCTTTTTTTTTTGAATTTTTAATTCCGAGTATCTGAATTTTTTTTATATTTTTGGAATTTCTGAAATCGTTAAATGTTCTAAATTTTTGAAATGTTTATCTTTTGAATTGTTTTTCAGAATTCCGATTTTCGCAGTTTTCTGGACTTTTAATAAATTTCGAATTTTTGAAATTCTGATTATTTCGGAACAATTTTTTGTTTTTTTTTAATCAGAAAAAGAAACCAATCTGCTCGGTGATTTTTTGAATTTCCAAAACTTTAATTAAGTAATTCTGGAAATTCCGAAATTCTCCAAATTTCCTAAAACTTACAAAATTTTGAAATTTGCCTTTTTTTTCGAATTTTGCAATATTCAAATTATTCGAGTTTTTCGTAGTTTTTTCTTTAAAAACGTTGGGTTTTCATGAAAATTTCTCCAAAAAAATTCCAAAAAATTCCGAAACCAACGATAATTTTAATTCAGAAGGTTCGAAAATTCAAATAAAACAAAAACCTGAAGTTGTAAAAATGCTGTTATTTTAGATTTTCAACCATTATTTCCAAAAAAATTAATGTTTCAAATATTTGACAAATTTCTGTAAAGAGAAAAAAAATCATTCGTTGGCTTCCGTAGTAGGATTTTTTTCGATATTTCAAAATTTCCGAATTTCTGAATATTCTTCAATTTCCTCAATTTTCAAAATTTTCCTGAATTTCAAAATTTCAAAATTTCGGAATTTTCTGCATTTTTGAGCTTCTGAGATTATATGCTTTCTTAATTTTTTGAAATGTTTACAACTTCTGAACTTCTAAAATTTTAATGTTTCAAACATTTGAAAAGTATCTGGGACCAGAAAAAATATTTGATTAGAAATCTAATTCCGAACTTATTTATTTTTAAGAACTTCCCGAATTTTTGCAATTTCTGAATTTCCGAAATTCCGAATTCTGTGAAATTTAAAAAATTTCAGAAATGCAACATTCCAAAATTAGACATCAATGGATCAGAAGTTATTGATTTTTTCCATAAAACTGCTCCATTGAAATGTCAAATTCCTGGAAATTTTGAAAAAGATTGGGTCGTTTTGGATAAAAATGGAAAAATTCGATTTTCGGAAAAACGAAAATCAGCGAATTGTCAAATGCAATATTTTTGGAGAATCACTGATGATGAGAATGGATATGGGGATACGGTAGATATTAAAGGTGAGTCGACATCGGGATTTATGAACACAAAGAAATTTGGAAATGTAATTAAAAACTTTAAAGAAATTCCGGGTTTGAAAACTTTAAAATCCAGAAAATTCGAAAAATGTTTATCCTAAAATAAAGAAGAATATCAGGGTCAACATCAAGAATAACAAAACGGAAAACTTTTTTTTTATTTGATGATATTTTCATGGAATTTCAAAAAAGACCGAAATTCTTTTGAAGTTATTTTTTATTTCGAAGAGTAATCAAATGTGAAAAATATTACTATAAATATAGTGAAATTAAAACTGTAAAAATTGTTTTGAGTCCAAATTTTGAACATTCCGAAATCTCCGGAAGTCCGGGATATTTTAAACACTGCGAAATAAAACAATTGAAAATTCAAAACTTATCATGAAAACTCTGAAAAGTTGAGAACGCTGAAAACTCCAGAAGGTTCTGAAATTTCAACGTTTTTGAACTTTCGAAAAGGCAGAAGTTCTGAAATTTAAACTTTTCAATAGCTAAAAAATTCCAGAAGTTCAAACATGTCGCCTCCAGCTCCTTCAAAATAAACAAAATTATGAAAACATCGAAAACTCCTAATGAAACTGAAACTGTAAAATTCAAAAGAGTTGAAAAATTGAAGAAACTTCAATATCGGAAATTTTAGGAAACGCTAACAATAAATTCCAAGAAATTTCAAGATTCAATATTTCGAGTTTCAGAAATTGAAAAAAAAAACTAAAAATTCGAAAACTGAAATTATCGTATAAATCAAAAATGAGATAAAACCAGAAACTTGTCCCAAAATTGAAACCTAAAAACCTATCAGAAAATCTTTCTCTTGTTTTCCGAAAATTGGATACTGCCTGAACTAAAATTAGCACTCTCAGAACAGTTTTCAGAAAACTTTGAAATTTATTAAAATTATAAAAATTAGATAACTTATTTTTATCAAAAAATTTTTCTGTTTCAGTTTATTCATAAATTCGAAAATTCTGAACTTTTTTCACTCTGTGAGCTGCTATTAGGTTGATAAGAAAAATTTTTATCTTTTTTGTCAAAATTTTTGATCAAATTTTTCTCAATGCGGAGAGGGGGCTAGGTCAATGAGTGTAATGTCCATTAGTATCAACAATTGTCTGGCAACGCTCCGGTAATTTCTCGATTCCATCGGCCCAGAACAACGAAGGCTGCGATTGAAAAAGCGAGCCAACTCCTTTTTAGTGTCATCTTTTCAATTGAAGATTTTACTATCAAGATGACGTTCAAGAGCCCCAAACGACGATTTATCCGAAAGGGCAAAATACGACCGGTGCAAAAAAATTGTTCAGCCAGGCGACATGATGTTCTGTCTGGCCCCTCTAGTCACTGGCCATCTTGCACTGTCGTGCTGGATGCGAACTTTGATTTTTCTCCTCGTTTTGATTTGACTGCCATATTCAATCTCTCTATTTAGAAACTATACAAGGCGGCAGTTATAGTGGCACCTTCATTTAAAAGTTCCCGGTTTCCATTACTTTGACCGACCATCAAACTAGCATACCCATTTTTACGGGAAATTTGGGTTCCGGGACGTCTAGAGCCTGATGTTCTTTGTCAATCAACTGACCCTTTTGCATGTTGATAGTGTAAATTACCCACTTATCATCTACGGTAACTAGATCTTCCAGCCAACTGACCGTACGAAGAAATGATAGGAAAAACATGATCATGTCTACATGGCGATTCATTTCGTAGTCCTGAAAAACAAGGGGTACGAATCAATCCAGTTTTTGACATTGCCAAAAGACTTCAACATATTCACCATACTTGGTTGGCTAACACATAATGCCTTTGACATTTTACGAGTGGTTTGAAATGGATCAATCTCCACGACTTTTGGCAATTGATGAAGATCCGGCTCACGGGTCGTTGACATCTTTCAAACTGAACTCTCCTGGGCGGGATTTCTCGAACCGAACGCCAATTGTAGGCGATGACGGAATATGTCCCTAATATACATCCACCATTTGTATGCGAATACCAAGTGTTTGTAGACCAAATTAAAATGAAAATATAATCTTGTTGCTAATGTGCCATCGGAGAAGGACCAAAATATAATTCAAACAATTTCCAGACGGCGACACATTCGATGGAGGTGATTTCGCCAAGGTCACTTGTTATCAAGGATTTTCCAAATGGACCACTCTACTTTGGACAGTTACTGAGAATCAAAAAAGACATGAGAGAGCCAGAAAAATGAGAAAAGAAGAGGTGGATCCAGAGAAAAAAGCGTATAATGTGTATTTTTTGGGGTAAGATTTTTAATTTGAACTCAATTATCTTGGTTACTAGGAGAGATATCGAAATTTTGTCAACTGATAAAATATTTATCATTTTCTGATTAACATTTTATCAGTTGACAAATTTTTGCTATCTTTCATAGGAACCGAGATAATTGAGACTTTATTGATTAGCAGAACTGAAAATGAAAAATCAAACTTACTGATAAAATGTGAATGAATCTGTCAAAATTTTCAAATTTTCCGGGGATGTAATTTTAAAAACGTTCTAGATTCGACTCCTTGTCTCAAATGTCATTCCGTCGAAAACTTCCAAAAACTGTGGATTTTCTGGAAAACACTCTGGGAAGTGTAGTTTTGAACGGTTATAATATTGTTGGAGACGGCACACCACAAGCATTTATTCCAATTTTAACAGCACAAACTGAAACTGAACTTCCTTTAACTAGAAAGCGATTTGAGGAGTCGAAATATCTAGATGAGGTTTATCCGATGATTTGGAAGAACTTTTCGGATGCAGGATATGTGACGATGTTTGGAGAGGATATGCATGAATATGGTGGGTTTACAATAGTAGATATCAAAAAAATATATAGTCAGCTATAAAAACGTTTGCCTTGAAATTTCCTACATTTAGTTGGAGATGTTTTGATAGCTATTACAGGAAAGGAGATAATTAAGAATGAATTATATCATGAGAACTTCTTATCGTACCTTGAAAAATTTACTTTTAATTATGACAAACTAGAAACAGTAATTTTGGCAACATGTTATGAATTTTGAAAATTGGGTAAATTAAACTGAAACTGGCTAAAATAGCTCAATCGGTAAAGCAATTATTAGAGTATGTTGAACATATTTTAATACCGATGTTTTGAAACCGTAATCTAGTGTCTACCGTAAACTTTGAAAACAGTGTAACTTGAAACTTGACGACCAACTAGCCTTTAAAAACTGACTTTTAAAAAACTATAAGATCGAAAATTTCTAGCTGAAACTAAAAAAAAATACTATTGCCTATTCCAAATAATCGTACGAATGAACGAGTAAAAAACGTGTAGAGAGTATCCAAACCTGTAGAGGCGCTGAAGAGACGCCGACATTTTTACTCGTTCACTCGCGCGATTATTTTGAATGGACAATAAAACCCGAGATGAGGAGGGCACAGACACCTCTAGCTTCTCTGCGCCCTCCTCCTCCCCTACACTCTCTCGTACCACAAATTCAAACGCCTGTAACTCCCTTCAAAATGGTCTGTTCTTAGTTTTCTTTTCAGTTTAAAGTAGATTGTTGACTTTCCTATAAGAGGTATCAAACAATGATCAACTACAAAATATTTGTTTTGAAAAAATTAGGAATTTGAAAAAATTGAAGGTACCTAAACTAAAATTGGCTGAATAAGTTCACTTGGAGACAGGCCTGTCACTGTAATTTGAAAATGCTTTTTAATACAAGTTTTTGAAACCGTAATTTAGTGTCTGCCGTAAATTTTGAAAATCTTGTGACCAAAAGTATTTGACGGTCTGAAATTGGCTGAAATAGATCAATCGATTAAACAATGACTAGAAGATTTTGAACATATTTTGATACCAATGTTTAGAAACCGTAATCAAGTGTCTACCGTAAAGTTTGAAAATCTAGAAATAAGAAAAAGTCGCCTAGCATTTAGAAAATAGACTAAAAGATGAAAATATCTATTTGAAACGGAAAAAATGGCAGAAAGCGGACTACTTGAAAGGGAGTTACGGACGAACAAAATTTTCGACACAAGAGAGTGTGGGAGTGGAGGAGGGCGCAGAGTTTCTTTACGTCCTCCCCGTTCTACACACTCTATCATACCGAAAGTTCAAACGTTTGTTACTCCCTTCAAAATTGTCCGTTTTCAGTTCTCTTTTCAGCTTCAGGTAGACAAGCCAAAATTTGACAAATTTTTCAGCCACTTTCACCTACCGTCTCAAGGGATTCCGTCACCAACCAACTGATCATTATCCGAGAACATTCTTTAAAGATGTGGAGGAAAGAGGAGATAGAACTTGTATCAATGGACAAGCTATTCATAATGTGAGTGATTTTTGGAGCCTAAGTAGGGCCTTAATTAATAGTATTGATTCACTCGCGCTCTGTTGAGTTTGTTCTCAACAGGTTGAAGAGCTTCCAATAAAAGAAACGATTCCAGATCTGGTTCAAAAACTGTGAAAACTTCATGCAAATATATCAAGATGTTCCTCGATTCCTTCTGATGCATCAAGGTCTTCTATCCCACGACGACATCAATTTGGTAGACGTAGAAGACGTGGATCTATCAGCCCATTTGAAACATATGAATGAATTGAGAATGTTTGATGATTCAATTGTCATTGTAATGGCTGATCATGGTCATCGATTCGCGAAATTACGAGAAACACATCAGGGACAATTGGAAGAACGAATGCCCTTCTTTTCCATTTCATTGCCAAACGAATTGAAAAAAACGGAGAAAGGCAAGAGGATGGAGAGGAACTTGAGGTGGGAAAATGGGAAGAAATTGATTGAAAGTGGGGGTTAAAATAATAAAAAAAAAGATTAAAATTTGTCTGAAAATGACCTGAAATCGACTGGAAGTGGGTGTTGAAGTAAATAAAAGACGTAGAGGCCGGAAATGGTGAAAATTGTCTGAATATGACCAGAATCAGGAGACTGAATTTGTCTTTTTAGAGTCATTTTCACCATTTTAACGGCAAAGAGTCATCTGCAGAAATAACTGAAATTGGTTGCTAATTTTATAATACGTTAACCGGACCATGAAACTCTAAAAAAGTTAATTTTATATGTTTTATTGAAAATTTGATTTTTTGAATACTGAAAACGTAGTAGTCTAGAATCTTCCTTTTTATCTGAAAATTTCAGATTATACTTATCAAAAATATAGCTTTAATTTTCTAATGGACAAATTTCTCTACAATTCCACCAAACAGGTTTAAAAGGAGCAGAAGTGGAATTTTTCTTTAGGTATAACAGATGTACTTTCGAAACAGCTTTAAACATGCAAGTAAAAAAAAAAGGAAAAATGATTTTTAGTTGTTAAAAGATTACATGTCAATCCATGGCTCATCTTAAAAAAGGCGAGACAGCAAAAAATTTGGGGGACAGTTTGGGGGACGAAATCGCGCCGCGCTTATATAGGCCATCGGTCGGAAGGCGCCTTCACGCCCCCGTAGCTCAGCCGGTAGCGGCGCTGTACCCCTGAGCTGCCGGTCATGAGTTCAACTCCTCATGGGGGTTCTCTAGGCAAAATATCAAAAAACGTTTTTTTGATGTCTGGCCCCCTTTAATGTAGTCTTCCAAATCCAAAAGTTTTATTTGAAACTCGAAAATCCCTTAAAATTTTAGTAGTTTTCTAGTTACGAATATTCCTTGTTTTGATTTTCTAGGTTTATTTTTCAAAAAAAAATTTAATGTTTCAAGTATTAGGTTGGCGGGAAAGTCTTTGTCACTCTGTTTGTTTAATCACTGTTCTCGTATATGGAGGCTGTGTATGATATCGACTCTAGTGAATAACAAGGTGATAAGAACCTTCCATATAAACAAGTCCCCATTTCCTTCCCTGCTCCTCATCTGTAATTGAAACGATATGTTTGTTCCCACTGCAATTCACATCAGACATGTTTTGATTTACCTCTTCCTATCTCACACCACGATGAAGGATTCGGAAACTTTCTTGAAGAATGTGTACAACACACATGCCCCTCACTACAATACTATTCGCAATTGGTTCCATCGTTTCGAAAAAGATGACTTCTCGCTCGATGAAAAGGATCGCTCTGGGAGACCCCGTGAGTTGGATTTGGACAAGCTGAAGCACGCATTGCAATCGGATCCATTTCAATCTAGCCGTGAACTAGCTGTCACATTCGGAGTTCACCATAGCACAGTCCTTGAAGGTTTGAAGTCTCTTGGAATGAGAAAACTTTTTGGTCGATTCATACCTCATCACCTGACTCAAGCCAACCTTGAACGCCGAGTCGACGATTCGATTACTCTTCTCACTCTCCACGCGGGCGATCGATGGCTGGACCGGCTAATAACCGGAGATGAGAAGTGGGTCTTCTACGATAATCACCACAGGAAATCCCAGTGGGTTGGAGAAGGAGAGAGCCCACAGGATGTCCCCAAACCCGAACCCTTTATCAGAAAAAAGTTATGCTCTCTGTGTGGTGGGGAGTGGACGGCCCCATCTACTGNGGACTTCTGCCCGAGGGCAAAACAATAACTGGAGACCTCTACACTACTCAACTACGAAACCTCAAGAAAGCAGTCGACCGTTCGGCCCTGAAAGACAAGAAAGTGTACTATCAACATGATAACGCTCGCCCACATGTTTCGAAACAAGTGAAGCAGGAGCTGATGGGATATGGATGGAATGTTCTCCCTCACCCCCCGTATTCTCCTGATCTTGCTCCTTCCGACTATTGGTTATTTGGCGATATGACACGTGCCTTCGAAGGAAGAAGCTTCAATTCCCGTGGAGCGGTCGAAGCGGCACTCAAACAATACTTTGCCTCACGCCCGGCTGGATTCTACCGCAATGGAATCCATAAATTGAGGGAACGTTGGAGACATGTTGTTGATAATGATGGACAATATAATTAATTATTCGGTTATTTTTTCTTTGAGAAATAAACTATTGAAAAAGTGACAAAGACTTTCCCGCCAACCTAATAGCTTTTTTCTACATAGAACTTTTCGAAGAATTTATTCAAATGGGCATTCGTTGTACTCAAAAACTTTTCGAATTTGTTAAAAATTTGGGTTGAAATTCAGAAGTTTTTAATTGAAGCTCATAATTTTGAAATTTAGGCAAGATTTTTGAAAAACTTTATTCAGACATTAAAAAACTGTTGCTGACTTGTCCAGGTATTTTCAGAGAATCCAATAATTTTCTAGGTAGTTTATTCAATCTTCATAAGTTTCATTCAACACAGTAGCAAAATCCAGTCTGCTCCATTTCAGAAAAATACAACTTCAAAATGTTTACTTAAAGGTGGGGGGACATGAAAAAAATAATGTTCTCGAAATTTCGTTTAAATATGCCTCTCGAGGAGTTGAACGTGTGGGACGAGGATTGAGGGTGCGGCGCCGCTACCGACTGAGCTACACGGGCAAAGAGAAAGCGGTCGCCCGATTGCATACATAAAGGCGAGGACGACAGCTGTACGCAGAGTGACATTAAGCGTTGTACACCGTCACGGTAGAATGCATACTCTGGCCCCAAAAATCCCCCGTAAAATCTCCTGTCCCCCCACCTTTAACGATTTTACACATGAAATTTTGATTTGTTTTTTTTATTCGAGTATTAAGATCTCTGTTTTGAAACTGCGATACTAGTAGTTTCTTCCATCCATTAATATTCACTGACGTTCACTGATGATCTAATGTTCAAATTCAAATACACCATTTACAGAGAAAACGCGGAGAAACTAACAAGTCCATTCGATATTCACGCAAGTCTTCTGGATATTCTGAATCTCTCCGCAACGTCTTCTGATGATTTCAACCAAATGCAAGATGCTTCTGAAAAACGATCCCTCTCCGTTTTTCGACCGATTCCAACTGATCGAACGTGTTCTCAAGCTGGTATTGAACCACATTGGTGCACTTGTTTATCCTGGAAAAATGCTCTGGACACCGAGGAAGATAAGAAATTGAGTGAAAGGTAGGGCGTCCCACTTTGACTTTGAGATGTGGTACTCTTGAAACAGTAAATTTTTGAAACAATATAAGATCCTCAGTATGAGTCAATTTATCTCTTTTCCTGTGAAAGCTATCAAAAAGTAGTCAACTGATAAAATGCTTATCACATTATAAGAAATATTTTGTCTATTGACATTTTTTTGATATCTTTCCAGGAATCGAGAAAATTTGGATCAAACCTGAAACGATACCTTCCAAAAAAGTTTATTTATGGAATCAACCAAAGCAGTTGGAAATGCTTTGTTGTTCTAAAAATCAAAATTATGTTGATTTTGAAACAGTAGTTTTTATTGATAGTCTTTTCTAATGATTCCAGTGGATTTTCGAATATGTTTTTTAGCAATGTACAACTTCATATTGGAAGTGGAATACGATTTTTTTGGCAAATCCTTTATTGATCTAGACACGGTAACAGTATTTTATGCAAAATGTTCTGTTTCAATTAGTTCATTTTTTGGGATTTGTTATCGAAGGTGCACTACACGAATAAGTAGCGGTTCAAATCTACCAAAAATAAAGTGAAAAACATGTGAATTGTTTGTTATCATATATACACAAAATCTCAGCTAGATTAACTGACTAGACCGCGAGTTAGAGACGTTTGAATTTTGCACGAAAGAGTGTGGAGAAAGAGGAGGGTGCAGAGAAGCTAGGCGTGTATGCGCCCTCCTTATCCACCACACTCTCTCGTGTTGAAATTTCCATCGCACGTAACTCCTTTTGAAATGGTCCGTTTTTAGTCATTTTTTACAGTTTCAGATAGGTTCTTTATCGTGTAGTTTATTTTTTTAATGCTAGATTTTCTGTTATTGTTTGTTTCTCAAACATCTAATTTTGAGATTTACGGTAGACACTAGATTACGGTTTTTTTCCACTTATCATAAATTAAGCATTGTTCTTTAGTTACTTCTTTTCAAGATTGTGTAACCTTCGTGAATGCTCAAATAGAACGGCGCCCTACACTCGCACTCTGAGCTCAATTATCTCGATTTCTATAAGAGATATCAAAATTTGGCCTATTTATAAAATGTTTATCGGGATATCACCATTATTTTATCATTTTAGAATTTTTTGATATCTCTAACAAGAACCGAGATATATTAGATCAAGTTGTGGGGGCTCCTATATTGGTCTCCAAGTGCATCTTCGAAAAGTATCCCAAGAAGCAAACTGAATGGAACAGAAATTTTGAAAAAAAAACTGAAGTAAACTCTTGGGGTGTCTAGATCTAATTTGCCAAAAAAATCCAAATTGATCACCCACAGTTACCCCTCTCTGATGTTGTATAGCTAAAAAATTACTTGAATCAGTAGAGAAATATTTTTTGAAAAATTACTGCTTCAAAATCGACTTAAGTTTGGTTCCAGAGAACAACAAAACACTAGGCAAAAGCCAAACGATAATCAGTTTTTGAGAAAATATGTGAAAAAGTAATTTTTATCATTTTTTTGACCATATGCGATCGTTTTAATGTTAGGCCAGATTAAATATAAAACAAAGTTATTTACATACCGTAAAACCTCTAATAGAACGACACCCGGATCGTCCACTTTGAG